ATATTCCAAAGCAAGCTGTCAAGATCGCTTAACAATTGTTGTAAATTCAATCAATTTTTTTTTCATTTCATAAAACGATGTTTGTTTTTTTTTTTTTTTTTAAATAATAAATTATATAATCTATAAAATGATCAATCGAAAAAAATACGAAGAAAAATGTTAACAAGCTAAATTCACATTAGGTGAACTATTTTGGTTAGACTTAATTGTCGTTAAGTATGCATGTATAGATCGTTTTATAGATTCGTCAAGAGAGATCATAGTTATAAAGCTGTTCTAGCTTCTGTATAAGGGGCATTCCCGAAGCGCATATGTAGGTATATCTCGTAGAAAGCAACTCCGACCACGTAGAGGAGAGCAGCTCTCTGGCCCACGCGCAACTCCAAACCCAGACTGGTCGGCCGTGTCCCGGCGAGTTTATTTTTGACTTTTTAAACCGAACGTTTCGCAAACTCGTGAAACTCTCTCTCTCTCTCTCTCTCTCTGTCGCGAGTAGCAGCGGGTTAGCCTCGCGGCATCCTCCTCCGCCAATTAGAGGAACTCCGACATTTTTTAGTCTGCTATATGATTCTTAAGAGCGGAAGTTATATCGTGTCTCTCATCCGGTCTCTCTCTCTCTCTCTCTCTCACTCTCTTTCTCATTCACTTACTTAGTCACTCACTCACTCTCGATGTACAATAGTAACTCCTACTTTATATAGTTTCATGTGACACTCTGCATCAACGAACGATGAAGATTATTTCTAATCATTTTCGAGATTTTCATAATATTTTATAATATTATTTCAAATCTTATTATTAGTAGAATTTTGGTTCTTCAAAAAAGAATAATCTATGATTTAATATGAATATTTTGATTAGAATTATTTCGAGATTATTCAGATAATATTATGCATCCGGTATTTTATATTATTATTATTATTATAGCAATTTCTGTTATGTCGTTTCATGGTATTAATATTTCTTACTATTTTTAAGACTGTTTGATAATATTTTGAATATGATAAAAATAATAGGTAAAATATATATCTTGTTTGGATGAATGATTTAATCAATTTTTAGAATTGCTCACAGTGATAATAATATTTTGCATCAGGGTCTTTTTTTTTTCTTTTTTTTGTTTTTTTTTTATGTGGGATAGTAATATTTATTATCAAATTTCCTGGCACTTATTCATCGTCACTTTTGTGACTGTTTTATAATATTTTTTTTTAGAATTATTTGAATATTAGATTCATTTCCGAAACTGTGATAATATTTTTTTTTTTTTTTCTTTTTTTGTAAAAAAAAGTGATTAGGAAATAAAATCAAAATGTTATTGTGTTCAAACTAACGATTTAATAATGAATATATTTATGAACACAGTTATGAGGAAGGAAAAAATAAACATTTAATTACATATTTCATTATAAATAATATCGAAATAATTTCTTTTTAATTGATTAGTTCATTAACACTAGATATATCACCAGACCACAGTCATTTTGATGAATAATTAAGCGTTTTGTTATTTAAAAATATCTATAAATTCATTTATCTATTAAAATTATTATTAAAGTTAAACATTTTTTGTTATTTAGTTTTTGATTTTGTTATAAGTTATTACAATATCTAACGTCATTACATGTACATTTATCACAATTCGATCAATCGATAGCGTGTGAGTATTCCAGTCAACGAATTACCTTATACTCTGTTAGAATCTTATCGAACTAACAGAGATAATCATGACTCTTTGTTAATAAACAAATAATTGGCAATAAATTGAGATATAAACTATCCGATCTTTCAAGTTAGATGAAACTGCACACAGTGTGTAAAATTTGATTCAAATCGGTTCAGTAGTTTAGGAGTTTATTGCGGACGAACAACGTGACACATAATTTACATATATTAAGATAAGATAATATTGCGATTATAAATTGATATATAAACTATCCTATCTTTCAAGTTGGATGAAATTGCACACAGTGTACAAAAGTTGATTAAAATCGGTTCAGTAGTTTACGAGTTTATTGTGGACAAACAACGTGACACGTAATTTATATATATTAAGATATGGAAATTGAAAAAGAAATGAAAAATATGTTATACCCAAAAAGAATTGGGTATAATAAACTCATGAGAAATGCATAAGATTGTTGATATTTGTTAGTTTCTTTTTAAGAAAAAAGGAAAAAAAAAAAAAGAAAAGAAAACTAATGGTTGGTTGGCCGCGATATCTAAACTCGCGTGTGCCGGGTCATCGAGCTTGCTCGTCTTCTTCATCTCTCTATGTCGGCACAAAGTATTATAGTTAGAAAAAGAAGGGAAACCGATAATGTGTGCGGCGAAGGAAAGAACGGCAAGTAAACGGCAATGCTAAAAGAATCCGCCGGATATCCGTTCGGCGTTAAAGAGCCTATCGAGGCCGTTGCGCAACGTGTACGTGCCGATAACGAACGTACGCGCTCCGAAAGAAGGCGTGGAAATGCGTCCTCGTATGAGGAGAAGTTAGGATACGCGATATGGGCTGACAACAACAAAATGATATCAAACAAACATTTTAATTACAATTTACATGATTTCTTTCCAAATATATTTATATATCTATCAAATATTCATGTTTACTTTAAATGCGTTAAATATGTCAACAACAAAATTTGGTAAACGAAATTTTCAGTAATATATATATATATCTATAAACTTTACAAAATTAAACTAAACTCTATAAACTTTATAAACTTTATAATAACTTTATAATAATAAAACTTTAATAACTTAATAATATTATTATAAAAATTAATAACTTTATAATATTATTAAATTAATGTTATTAATATAATATAAAATATATATATAATAATATTACAAAATATTATATATTAAAATAATACTATATATAAAAAATAATTTTTTTGTTTTCTAACTTTATAAAAACTTCTAAACTTTAAATATATCAATTATTAATACGCCCATATTAAATTAACCAAAATTGACTGTAAATAATAATATATATCATATCATTGAGAATAAGAGAACTAACTAATAAGCGTATTTTTCGCAACGGTATGAAATGAAAGGAATGATTTTTGTTGTTCTCATTGACTGGGGGGGGGGTGGGATGTTCCCTTCATAAGTATCACGTTGTAGCATAGATAGATACATACATAGATATGTATGGGTCCCGTGAAATTGTACGCTCTTAGATGGTGACGGGGGATGAAGCGGGGATGATAACAATGCTTGCATACCGAGGCAAATAATTCGCGTGGTACGTGCTGCATCACGCGGTCACGGGTGTGCCGTTTTTTCTGTGTAAGCCTTTGGCGCGACTTCCTTTCACGACGATCACGTTCCGTTCACCGC